AGCATTGAAAGCGGTCCTTAGAGGGAAGTTTATAGCTCTAAGTGCCTACATTAAAAAATCAGAAAGAACACAAATAAATGACTTAACATTATAACTCAAGACACTTGAAAAGCTACAACAAACAGAACCCAAACTCAGCAGACAAGAAGAAAGAAGAAAAATCAGAGCTGAAATTAATGAAATAGAAACAAAGAAAACAATTAAAAATAAACAAAACATTGAATCCAAAAGCTGGTTCTTTGAAAAGATAAACTAGATTGACAGACCCTTAGCCCAGTCAACCAAAAGAAACAAAGAGCACCACCAAATCAACAAAATCAGAGATGAAAGGGGAAACATCACAACAGACACCAAAAAGATCCATAACATTATAAGGGAATACTTTAAAAACCTATACGCTACTAAATTTGAAAGCCTAAGTGAAATGGATGGCTATCTAAAATATGGGAATCTTCAAAATAAACCAAGAAGAGATCAACAGCTTAAACAGACCCATAACACATAAGGAAATTGAAACATTAATATAATACCTCCTGACTAAAAAAAGCCTAGGCCCAGATGTATTTACAGCAGAATTATACCAGATATTTAAAGAAGATCTACATCCAATACTACTTAATTTATTCAAAAAGATAGAAATGGAGGGAGAACTCCCGAATTCCTTCTATGAAGCCAGCATCACTCTAATACCAAAGCCAGGTAAAGATACAACCAAAAAAGAAAATTATAGACCCATGTCCTTAATGAACATAGATTTAAAAATTATCAACAAAATGCTTGAGAACTACATAAAGACACACATCAAAAATATCATCTACCACGATCAAGTTGGCTTTATTCCAGAGATGAGGGGATGGTTCAATGTATGTAAGTCAATAAATGTCATAACAATATAAATGGACTCAAAGACAAGAACCACATGATTATCTCAATAGGTGTAGAGAAGGCTTTTGACAAAATTCAACATGCAGTTATGTTCAAATTCCTAGAGGCAATCGGACTGGAGGGAACATACCTCAACATAATTAAAACCATATACAATAAAACCACAGCCAATGTTATTCTAAATGGAGAAAAATTGGAAGCATTCCCAGTAAAATCAGGAACCAGACAAGGCTGCCCACTATCTCCACTCCTTTTTAGCATAGTACTTGCAAGAGCAATAAGACAAGAGAAGGAAATTAAAGGAGTGATCATTGGAAAAGAAGAGATTAAATTATCCCTTTTTGCAGATGATATGATATTATACCTAGGAGATGCCAAAAATTCCATCCAAAAACTCCTAGAAATGATTAACACTTTCAGTAGAGTGGCAGGTTACAAAATTAATCTGAAAAAGTCTGTAGCCTTTCTATATACCAGTAACAAACAGTCAGAGAAAGAGTACATGGAAACAGTACCTTTCACAATAGCCTCAAAAAAAAAAAATCAGAATAAACCTGACCAAAGACATTAAAGAGCTCTACAATGAAAAATTTAAATCTTTAAAGAAAGAGATTGAGGAAGACATCAGAAGATGGAAGACCCTCCTATGCTCATGGATTAGAAGAATTAATATTGTGAAAATGACCATCCTACCAAAATCCATTTATAGATTCAATGCAATGCCAATCAAAATCCTTGCGACATTCTTCACAGAATTGGCACAAACCATCCTAAGATTCTTATGGAAGCACAAAAGACCTCGGATAGCCAAAGCAACCCTGAGCACTAAGAGCAATGGTGGGGGATTGCTATACCAGATTTTAAACTATATTACAGAGCTATAGTCATAAAACAAAGTGGTACTGACACAAAAATAGACCCATAGGTCAATGGAACAAAATTTAAGGCCCAATATGAGTACATGCAATTTCAGCCGTTTGATATTTGACAAATGGACCAAGAACATTCACTGGAGGAAAAACAGCATGTCCAGCAAATGGTGCTGGCAAAACTGGATCTCCACCTGTAGAAGAATGAAACTAAACCCCTATCTTTCACCTTGCACAAAAGTCATCTCCAAATGATCAAAGACCTCAAAGTGAAGCCTGAAACTCTGAAACTATTAGAAGAAAACATTGGCAATAACTGACAAATATAGGTGGGGGAAAGGATTTTCTAAACCATACATCAATTGCTCAGGAAATAAGGTCAAGAATCAACAAATGAGACCTCATTAAACCAAAAAGCTCTGACATCAAAAGAAGCCACCAAAGAAGTGAAGAGAAAACCCAAAGAATGGAAGAAAATCTTCACCAGTGTCATATCTGACAGAGGTTTAACAACCAGAATATTCAAAAGTGCTCAACATCATTAGTAATTAGGGAAATGCAAATTAAAACCACTTTAAGAGTTCATCTTACCCCAGTCAGACTGGCTAAGATCAAAAGAACAAATGACACCTAATGTTGGCAAGGATGTATAGAAAGGGGAATGCTCATCCACTGCTGGTTGGATTGAAAACTTGTTCAACCCTGTGGAATGCAGTGTGGAGAGCCCTTACAAAACTACAAATGAACCTACCATTTGACCCAGTTATGCCACTCCTTGGCATATACCCAAAGAATTCATCCTATTGCAAAGACACTTGTATATCCATGTTTGTAGCTGCTCTTTTCACAATAGCTAAGAGGTGGAAGCAATTCAAGTATCCCTCAACTGACGAGTGGATAATGAAAATGTGGTATATTTATACAACAGAGTTCTACACTTCAGTAAAGAAAGATGAAATCATGAAATTTGCAGGTAAATGGATGGAACTAGAAACTGTTTTATTAAATGATGTAACACGGACTCAGAAAAACAAATGATGTATGTTCTCCCTCTTTTGTGGATCCTGGCACCAAATCCTTATAATTGAGTATATATCCAGACATAACTACAGGAACCAGGATAATGAAAAGAAACCAGGGAGGTAAAGGAAAAGAAAGAACCTGAGAGAGATGAACAGTAGGAAACAGGTGTTACTAAGGGAAATATGGATAAAAATGGGGTTATTTTAAGGGGAGTGGGGAAGGAGGGTTATATTAGGAAACCTGAGGATAAAGGGAAAGACAGAGTTCAAGAGAGATGGGACCATAGGAGAAGGGTATTATTCAGGGAGAAATGGGAAAAATGGGAGCACTTTAAATGGGAAAATCATGGTGGAAGGGTTAGATGATGAGAGAGAGATAAATAGTGCCTAGCTAGTTTAAGAAAACTGGAGGGAACCATATCAGTCCAACAACATCCTGAAAAATTATATATACAACTAGTTCAAGGAACAAAATGTATGTCTAGTCAAGGTTTATCTGAGAATGTTTGATTTTGCCCAAGCTTCACCTACATAGTGCATCGTAATCAAAAGTACCAGACTGGTGGAACTAACATTTTTGGATGTTTAACAGCCATACTTTGAGGCCTACACTAATCTGCTCAGAGGGACTTAAAGGACAGTTTTTGCACCTTGCCCTCCAAGATCGACTAAGTTCCAGGGGACTATGGAGCATCTCTCAAAATGTCCTGTAACTGTGGTGAGTCACCTGTCCTCTT